TATTGAAACAAAGTGTATGATTTGTTGAATGTAAAACTGATGATCTGCCCTGTAAACTTTCACTCAATCCACAATAAAAACCTTAAAAATAATAAATAATAATAATTTCAGAGGTTCATCCAGCCTCCATTGCTCCAAAAGTCTTGATTCCATGAAAATTTGAAATTATGTTCTGCATTTCCTCCCTTTTGATCAAGATTTTTCTACAGAATCTTTGATCAAAATGTTCAGTACTGGTAACCAGGCACCATCTAGTTCTATGATAACTTTTTAAAATATATAATCCTGGACAAGAAAGTAACCAAACTCTCTGACTACAACATTACTCATCCTTGATTTAGATAGTCATTTCAATTTCTTTAAATTTTATACATTTTAATAGGTATTTAATGCATATGGCATAAAATCTAAAAGGCAGAAATATAAATACAGTGAAAATTAAGTCATCCTTCCTTGCTTGCCCACTCAGCCATCCAGTTCCCCTCCCTATAAATATATGAAAATAAATGCTGTACTAAAACAAAAACAAATGCCAGCCAAGACTCTATCTAGATAAATTACCAGAAAATTTGAATTAACAGAGATAAAAGCTAAACAATTCAACATTCAATATACTATGGAATACTGCAAAGGAAAAGAAACTTTCTTTCATTTACAGATTTTTTTTTTCCCCATGTAAATCAAGTAAAAAGACAAGTCCTTAGAAAAGTTAAGTTGCTTAGTGACTACAGGTACAAAGTTGTTTTTTTGTTTTTAACTTAGACTCTGTGCTTTCTAGATGCACTGCCCCTGCCTTTATTGATGTTTTCTTTATTTCTTATCTAAACTTTTTAATAGCCTCCTTACTGGTCTCTTTTCTTCCTCTTCCAGTGGAGTTCCAAAAAAAAAGTGTCTTTCTAGTTTTAAAAAGCCTAGAAAGTACTAGGTTAAATGACATTTAAAAGGTTTCTTTTTCAAAGAGCAGAGAGCGGGACCCTACCCAGAGAGGCAGAGATGCCAGGGATGGAGACAGAGACGATGACATGGACAGATGGAGCGGCTGGGGACACTGAACTCAGGGAGGGAGAGGGGCTGTGTGCTGATGGTCAGGGGCGGACCTGTGGGGTGTACCCTTTGGTTATTTGATGATGCATGAGGGGATTGTAATCATTGCAATGAAATGAAATATGATAGGATGAATGTAAAACTGATATTCTTCTATGTAAACCTCACAATAAAAGCTTATATTAAAAAAAAAGGTTTCTTTTTTAACTGACAGGACTTGTTGGTGCCTTTAATATTCCATATGCATGTAAACCTCCTAGATAGATATGATGGTGTGCAACCCTTTCTTAATGAGCTAGTGTTTTAGGCAGTATAAAAAATGTTGGCCTAAATGATAACTTCCTATTAGTCAAGGCCCTACCTTCCTATAAAGATGGTGTTTGGGCAGTATCTGTCCTCCTCTGACTTCACAAGGGAAAAGGAGAACTAAACTCAACTTCAATCCAAGGGCAATTCCTGTGAGACATGCCTCACCCCTCCATTCTTCTTTACAATTCGGACATCAACTCTCCCTTCCACAGCAGTCTCTGTTTCTCTGCTGGGTTCGGTAATCTGTTGCAATGGCCATACAGAACTCACACACAACACTCACGATTATAGTGATTATTAGACAAGTGAACAGGGAACAACAATGCAGGACCAGAAATGCTCAGAAGACAGGTCTTTAGTCAGGATTGGCTCTTTTCAACTGTGCCCATATGCACACCTCTCTCTGTGGTTCTAAGCCACTCAGTCACACGGTCCCTTGGCCACTGCCCTGCTAGGGCAATGTTACAAAACTCCTTTAGTGCTTCCAATAAACACTCAAAGGGCATAAACCATAAACCTCAGCCTGGTTCAAGCTGGTTCAAGCTCCATGGGTCAACACACTTAGAACCCCTGATTAAATGTCTGGAGGCAATCCACTGCCCAAAGGTACTCCGTTTTCTCACTCCGTGGGTCAGAACAACCACTCTGTTTGCTGTTCCAGTTGCTACTGCCTCTGCGACAATTACTTTTCTACCACTTCTCTAGTTTCACAGCTCTGTCTCCAGGAGGGTCAGTGCACAGGGAAGAATCTTAGGGTCCAAAAGACATGCTCTGCTCCTGGCTCTTCTTTCGTGATGTTAGTGAGAGCTCCCTTTCTGGCTTCTAAGATGGTTCATGTTAAATTCTAGATGGCAAAATGGACCAATGCTTACATGCATGGTTCCACCCAGTCATTTGATGGGAGTTTCAAAAAAGACTGTGTCTAGAAAAGCCGTATCAAGTAATTCATTGTACCATTACTTACCTTTCCAATTTTACTTCCTGTTACACCTGTAGGCCCCAGCTCATCACTATCACATTTACAACTTTGTTCTCTATCATGGTGTCTCTCTGTCTGTAATGCCCTTCTTACCTCTACTTGTGAAAAGGCCTAAATTCAAATGTACCTCATCCAAAGTGTCATCTGAACCCTTACCCAATTAGGGTTATTTCTTACTTTCCCAAAGAACTTCATACATTTATTAAGGCATCGATCTGTCTGCCTTAGGTTATATTTGTAAATGTATCTTTCTCTTTCACAAAATTGTAAGGCTTGGAAGACAAGACCTGTCTAGTACACAATTGTTATGTCAAAACCACTTCTGGATTGATAAAGCAATTTTAGTTTTCCAAAGAACATCTAAAAAAGATCTTATTTTATGACACAAGCACACACACAAACTTGCAGAGCTAATAAAACAGATGCAGTCACCATGTGACAAGATTATAAACAGCACAATTATGATGAAACAGTTTGCAGTTGCTGAACATTAACTATGTGCCAAGCAATGAGCTAAGTACTTTATAAAATGTAATTCACTTAATCCTCAAAATAATGGTATAAGGTAGGTTCCATTATTGCTACCATTTACAGATGAAGAAACGGAAGTTCCAACAGGTAAAGTTATTTGCCCAAAGTTGACAGCTAGGAAGTTAAGTCTATTAAGCGGCACAGCCCTGAACTCATTGCCACTGAGTCGATTCAGACTCAGAGCGACCCTACAGGAAAGGGTAGAGCTGGCCCATAGGGTTTCCAAGGCTGCAATCTTTACAGAAGCAGACTGCCACATCATTATCCCTTAGAGCAGCTGGTGGATTGGAACCACAGATCTACTAATCACCAGCTGAGTACTTTAACCACTGTGCCACCAGGGTTCCAGTAAAGGGTAAACCCAAGTCTAATTCCAACTGCTATACTTTCTCACTTTCAAGTGTTTGCCCAAATACTTACCACTAATAAACCATAATGCTAATCATTTGTTGTTAAGTCCCGTCGAGTTGGTTCCAACCCATAGCAACCCTGTATAGGATTTCCAAGGAGTGGCTGGTGAGATTGAACCACCAACCTTGCAGTTCAAACCAATTTTGCAGTCCAGTGCATTAACCAGCTCATTTAAATTCAATACAAAAAGGTATTAACTTCAAAGACTCTAAAATTCACTAAAGTGAAATCCGACATCTATATTATTGTGCCATAATTGCAACATTAAAATTAAATAATTACTTACTTGCACAGTTTGCTTTCTGCCATGTGGAATTAAAGAACTCAGAGAGGATCACAACTATTTGCACTCGATCTACCATTAAGAGACTTCTGGCACAATTGTGACTTTCTGAAGTATTCTGTAACAAAAAGATAGAAAACCACAATCTGAGTAATTTTAGACTTTCTGAACAACTCAAGGCAAAAAGCCTTATAAAAACAATTACAACATTATAAATATTTCAGTATTTTATTTGATATGATTGTTGTTGCTGTTAAGTGCTGTCGAGTCAGTTCCGACTCATAGAAACCCTGTGTAGGGTTTCCAAGGTGTGGCTGGTGGGTTTGAACCACCAACCTTGCAGTTCAAATCAACCTTGTGGTCCAGTGCTTTATCCTACAGCACCACAAACAAGAGCAGCTAACATTTACTGATATTAGGTATCAGGTTTACTTGCATAGGAAGATCTTTGCTTCTTAAATAATCTTGTATGGTGGTGGCATTTATGTGCTGTAGAGTTGGTTCCAACTTATAGCAACCCGGTATAGGGTTTCCAAGGCTGTGAATCTTTATAGGAGCAGAAAGCCTCATCTTTCTCCTGCTGAATAGCTGGTAGTTTGGTACTGCTGACCGTGAAATTAACAGTCCAACTCGGAACCACTATGCTACCAGAGCTCCTTAAATAATCTTGAATAGTAAAACTAATTGTAGTACAAGATTATACTGGTGTGATGCTGTAAGATAAGGCCTGGAATGTTAAGGACAGCAGTTCAAACCCACCAGTTGTTTCTTGGAAACCCTAAACAAGGTCACTATGGGTCAGAACCAACATGAAGGCACTTAACAACAGTACAATCTCAGGACTCCTGGTATGGCGCTGTAGGATAAGCACTGGACTGCTAACAATAAGGTTGGAGGTTCAAACCTACCAGCCTCTTCTTAGACCTGTATAGCGTCACTGTGACTTGGAACCAACTTGACGGCATTTAACAACAACAGTACCCTCTCAACTACTTGGGTACCAACTGAGTATGTGTCATATGTTTTACTTTTTATGCATTAGAAAAAAATTCAGAAAACTAATCACCAAAATAGGCAGTTATCTCTAAATATGCATGTTTTACATTTTTGCCTTTGTTACACTATATAAATTCTTCCACAGTGAACATAATTATTTATGTTTAAATCTGGTAGGTAAATGATCATACGTCATTTGGTCTCATGGGCAATTTTTGGTTCAACATTTTATAATCCACAAAAAAAGTGACACACCTAGTTTGTTCATATAAAATAAGTTTTCTATAAAGCTTTTTAATATGAAAGGAATTCATATTTGATCTCAAATAAAGATTTGATCAGATTCAGCAGTTTTTATTTTTATTTACTAAAACTTCTAATAAGCGGTACATAACTTCTGGTTGTCTTTCTGAGAGGTATTTATATGTTGCTTTATAAACAGCAAAAGATGCATCCAAAGAATGCTTACTTTTAAACAGCCAACTGAACATTTTTAATGTTCCTTTCTTAGAACTGCTTTCAGAACAATTACTATTATTGCTTCTTAAATAGAGTTTGGTCAAAGGAGTCAGACATGAGAAGGTGACAAGCAGTGATCTTGGGCAGCTGACCTAAGCTCTCTGAGCTTCAGTTTGATAATCACGGGCCCTGGAATTCCTGTATTAGTAACATGTTAGTCACTTAACACAATGTCTGGCACAAAGTGTTGATAGATACACCAATTCCACCGAGCTACCTTGCTGCTGGTATGACGTGTGCTAAGTCAATGTAGCTGGCTAAACATAATCACTTACTGAGAATCTTCGGAAATCCCACTTCCTCCAGGAGCTCTAATTTATGGCTGGCTATCTTTAAAAGCAGTATGGCCTGTATGAATGTTCAATGCATGGAAATCCAGGAAGGTGTCAGTGGTTGGAGAAAATCAGAAAGAACTCATGGAAAAAGTGGAATTTTCAAAGGAGATTCTAAAATAGGAAATAATTGGTCATGGGATGAAAGTAGGAATGATTATGTGATATTCAGAAAGTATTCACTAGGCCCAATACAGCTAGTTGGTGGTGGTAAGTGCCTTTGAGTCAGTTCCAACTAATAATGACCCTGTATAGGGTTCCCAAAGAGTTGCTGGTGGGTTTGAACTGCTTTGTGGTTAGCAGTCCAGTGCTGATCCTACAGCACCACACCAGGACTCCAATATAGCTAGAGTGAAAGGTTTCTCTATAAAAGTGGGACACTAGAGGGAGGAGTTAGGACAAAGTTGTAAAGGACCTTGAAGGTCACACAGTGGAGATTCTTGAAAATATTTGAGAATGACACCACATATTTTAGTTGTCAGCTTTAATACCTGACCACTTTACCTATCCCCAGATATAAACAAGATCAGTGCCCTTTGCTTTGGTAACATCGTGAGATTTTTCTTCTTTGCAATACTTACCACACCTGAATTTAATAATTATTTATATAATGATGTTCAATGTCTGTTTTCCCTTCAGACTACAAGCTCTTGATCATTCACTATGCACATCCCTAAAACTCACTATGGGTCCTGGTGTGGCGCTGCAGGATAATGTGCTGGACTGCAAGGTTGGCAGTTCAAACCCACCAGCCACTCCTCAGAAACCCTAGACAGAGTCGTTATGAGTTGGAACAGACTCACTAGCACTTAACAACAACAACAAGTCTGCATATGTTCCGACTCAGTTCCGACTCATAGTGACCCTGTATAGGGTTTCTGTGGAGCAGCTGGTGAGCTTGACCACCAACCTTGTGATTCAAACTGATTTTGCAGTTCAGTGCATTAACCCACAGAGCTCTGGTAGCGTAGTGGTTACGAATCGGGCTGTGAACCGCAAGGTCAGCAGTTCGAAACTACCAGCTGCTCCGCGGGAAAAAGATGAGGCTTTCTGCTCCTGTAAAGATTTACAGCCTCGGAAACCCTGTACAGGGTCACTATGAGTCGGAACTAACTCAACGGCACTTAACAACAACCACACTCATTAAAGAATTATTGAATACTCTGGTAGCGTAGTGGTTATGAATCGGGCTGCTATCCCCAGGGTCAGCAGTTCGAAACTACCAGCTGTTCCACGGGAGAAAGATGAGGCTTTGTGTTCCTGTAAAGATTTACAGCCTTGGAAACCCTGTACAGGATCACTATGAGTCAGAACCGACTCCACAGCACATAACAACAACAATAACAACAACACATACCTATTTGAGTCTGCATACAGGTATTAAATAATTTTTACTGAATGCATAGGAAGGTTACATTTTTTTATCTCTAATTAAAAACATAGCATACAATGTTGTTACATTCCAAATTTCTCCCTATGTTCCTAAGAATTATAAGTCTAAACTAACAGTATGTTGAACACTCATCACATACAAATCATGAATCACTAGAATCTTCACACAAAACTCACAATTTTATCAAATCAAGCTTAGCAATTCAGAATTTGGAGGCCACACCAGCTTCACAATCACACAGCTATCAGCTTAACCTAAAAGAAGGCAGCATAACTCAGAGGCAATTAGTCATTAGGACACCTCAGTATTCAAAATCACTGTATTCTTTACCATGAAATAAAACTACATTCAGAGAACAAACAACAAGGCGGACAGGGTGGAAGTGCAGTGAGCAGCACCGTCAGCAACAACACAGAATACCAGACCAAGCAGGCTCAGGGGATGGTCCCAGAACTCTGAACCACATAAAAAGGAATATTTAGAAGATTGGAAGGCTTACAGCTAGGGGAATGTGTAGTAGAAACAAGAAATCCATTGCTTTATAATCCAAGACGCTCAGCTGCTCCCAGAGCCTCCATCTTGGGTGAGACCAAGCAGGAGAAGGATCAGAGCAGCCACGGATGCCTCACAGAACTGTGGAGATAAAGGTGTGGACATTCTTTTTTTTTTATCTGTTCATTGGTCTCTTGCTGTCTGCACACCTCCATTCAGGTGACTAAAGGGGGTGCCTGAGCAAGTGGACACCCCACTCCCACACCCAGAGGTTCTATTATGCATGTACACAGATCTCCTCGAAATTTAAAGAGTTTCCACTTAAAACCAAACAGCAGTGCAAAATGGCCACAGCTGGCCCTAAACTGTTTATCACTAGGAAAAAGGTCTGAACGGGGATTGTGGAGCAGGACAGCCAGACTAAAAAGGAAATAGGCCAAAAATTAAATCCTGAGTTACATTAAAATGACCAACAGTGACATCTTGAAAGTTCTCAGGAAGAAGAGTGAAAAGGGAAGCCCATTTCCTGATCACATCTACCTGAAGGCAATCAGAAAGCATAAAAATACCAAAATACACACCCATCTAAGTATTAAGGCCACAGAAAACTCCTGAAATATGCCCAAACACAGAAACAGATAACCATATCAGCACATGTCCAGAAACGAGATAAAGTGACTAAGGCAAATGAGCTGGAAGTAGACCTACATACTAGAAGATAGGCAGGCTTTGGAAATGCTTGAGATGGAATTCAGAAAAATGATTATAAAATGTATCAAAACACTATACAATACAGTTGAGAAAAATAAGGAAGAAGTCAGGAAAGTGCTACAGGAACAATCAAATAATAAGAGATACAGCATTGGAAACAATTCAAAACCTACAGAAAGAAGTCCAAATGATTAGTAATAGAATATCAGAAATGGACAATACACTAAAAGGGCAAAGAAGTAGAA